CTTGGCCTCCGTTCTTCAGTCCCTGTTATGGTGGATAGAACCAGCCAATTTAAATGTCGGTGTCCCGTTTTGACCTCAGTACCCTACAGTGACTCTCGGTACTGACGCGTCTCTTCTCAGATGGGGAGCCATTTGCTCCGACCTACATACCCAAGGGGTGTGGAGTCCCTTGGATTCCAGGAACCACATCAGCTTCCTGGAACTTCTTGTTGTTTTCAAAGCCCTGCAATCGTTCAAGGACATACTTCTTCACCAGGTTGTCCAGGTGACCTCGGACAACATGGCTACGGTTTTTTATTTGAACAAACAAGGGGGAACCCGGTCCCCGAAACTAGCCCGCCTGTCGATACAAATTTGGGACTGGTGCATACCGAGAGGTATCACTCTTCTAGCAGTACATCTTGGGGGCACGGACAATGTAGAAGCAGATCTCTTGAGCAGACATATGTTGCGGTCACACAAATGGGAACTAGACTGTCGGGTTCGTGACAGACTGTTTCACCGCTGGGGTCTGCCAGACATTTGCCACACAACAGAACAGGGTGTGCACGAACTATTGTTCCAGAGCGGGGTTAGGACAGGGGTCGTCCGGGGGCGCCTTCATGATCCCCTGGAACAACATGGCCTTTTATGCTTTCCCACCGATCCCCCTCATCATGAGAGTGTTGGCAAAGATCATTCACAAAGGGGCCACAGGGCTACTAATAACCCCCTGGTGGCCACGCCAACCATGGTTCTCAACTCTCCTTCACATCTCGAGAGGATTTTCTCCAACTCCCTCTTCTTCCTTATCTCATTACCCAGAGGGAGGGCACAATCCAACACCCAGACCTGTTGTCGCTGAAACTGACTGCCTGGAGGATCCGATAACCGTATGTGCTGCACTGGTGTCAACGCCACCAGCAATCCCTACTACCTCTACTTCACAAACTTTACATCCAGATCTGTGATATATTCTCGAATCTGCATTAAGGCCATCCACTAGAAAATCGTATGCAGCGAAATGGCGTAGATGTTTATATGTGTTGTGATTTATTTTACAATTGCCTTTATTTATTGTTTGTAAGCCGCCTCGAGGCTTCGGCGAATGGGGCGGCATAAAAATGTTTTAATAAATAAATAATAATAAAAAAATTCTCCAGCTTTGCAGAATCCCACTCATTTCCGGCGTCCTTGGCATCCGTTCAGCAGGTTCTTCAATTCCTCTTCGAATTGCACCAGTCTGGACTTAAACCTTCTTCCATAAAAGTATATACAGCTGCAATTTCTTACTACCATGGAACTGTACACGGTTTCTCCATCTTTTCTCAACCTTTGATTAAAAGATTTTTGAGAAGATTGGGTAACCTCCATCCAACAGTAAGGCCCCTGATGCCCACTTGGAGTCTTTCAGTAGTTTTACAAGCACTGACTTGGCCACCTTTCGAACCCATGGCGACAATTGATCTGCGCCTTGTCTCATGGAAGACTGCTTTCCTTGTAGCAGTTACTTCAGCCCGTAGATCTTCTGAACTTTGTGCCCTTAGGACAGACCCCCTTTTCTGAATTCTCATAAGGAAAAGGTAGTTCTATGGCTGGGTCCGTCCTTTCTTCCAAAAATCGCTACTTCGTTTTCACATGCAGCAAGAGATCGTTTTACCAACCTTCTTTCCAACTCCTTCGAATCCGATAGAGTGATCTCTGCATATGCTGAATGTTTGTCATTGCTTAGCCTTTTATAGGTCCAGGACTGAGTCTGTTCGACACTCCAATAGACTTTTTGTGAAATACTCGGAACACGACCGGGGCTATCCGGTCACTTCCCAACGACTTTCCAAATGGATAGTGAAAACAATTGTTGTGTCTTACCAGTTGGCTAAATTGGACTTACCATCTACTCCAAGAGGTCATTCTACAAGGGCTGTTGCTGCTTCTTCGGCCTTTGCATCGGGAGTGCCGATGGAAGACGTCTGCAGAGCTGCCACTTGGGCTACCCCGTGTACCTTCGCCAGACACTATAGACTTGATGTCCGTGCCAGGCAATATTGCTCTTTTGGCAGGGCTGTTCTTTCTTCTGTTCTTCGTTGATGACACCTCCCTCCTCCAGTTTGGGTAAGCTTGTTATTCTACCCATATGTGTGATGCACAGAGGCCACGACGAAAAAGAGCAGGTTGCTCACCTGTAACTAGTGTTCTTTGAGTGGCCATCTGTGCAGTCACACAACCCACCCTCCGACCCCACTTGGTGTCATGGGTAGTCCGACTTCCTTCTCTTCAGTGATAGGATCTCTTTAGCTATTTGTCGTACCACTGAAGTTTTGGTTTTTTGTCATGATGACAATAACTTTATTAAGGGAGCGAACGTCAGTCTTTCAAAGACTGGAAAATGGCGGACACTCCGCTCCTTATATAATGCTAGGGGGGAGGGGGAGCGGAGTTCCCGCCAAAAACCGTTAATCTTCCGCCAAAGGCACTGCGCAGGTGCAGAACCCATATGTGTGACTGCACAGATGACCACTCGAAGAACATCAGTTACAGGTAAGCAACCTGCTCTTCCAGCGGGCAGAGAGGGGAGAGACCGGTGCTGCCAAGATACAATGTGTTCTCACCATACCTCAGTCTCATTTTCTTACTTCTGAAGCCCCACAGTTAAACGGAAAATGGCTGTCTGTCTTGCAGAGCAGAAGGAGAGCAGAGTCGATCTTCACTCCTGTTTTTCTTCTGCTCTTCATAGGATGCCCATCATCATCCAAGACTGGAGAGTTATGGGCAGTCCCATTAGATTGCATCTGTAGCCTTGGCTTGTAAACTGCCCATGGACTGTAGTAAAGTGCCTAGAGAGCTTTGGCTATGGGCTGTGGCAGTACAGAGACGACGATGACAGCTTGTTGCTGAATCTGAACATTATTTATAAAGGGCCTGATATATTCTGAGAAATACATTAATTTCAAAACAGATGAAGTGACTTGACAGTCACTTCCTGGTGTCATTCTGCTAATTAGGCATGAGATGTATTTCGTTAATGGACCAATAGTGCCTGGTGAATTCTATTCCACAATGAAATGTGCCTACACATATGTATTGCTATCTGAAAGCAACGTATTCTCCTTATTAGCTAGATGCAATAATGAAGAGTATCATGGGAGATGCTAGGCAAGAGGGTTTGATTTTATAATTTTTTCTATCATGGAACAGACCCATGGAGGACAGAAAGTATAAAGGGCTTTTGTTAGGAGCCTGGCTAATTTAGGGGCAATTACATTTAACAACAGTCATTTGGAAAGACTGTTAAGGAACAATACTTTGACTGTCTTCATTAGTGGAAAAGACATGAATGAGTAATTTGGCAAATTCAAAGGAAGGTTAATGATGCCATTTGAACTAGTTAATTCCAGTTAACTTTCCTTGCTACCTTTCATGTATGTTTTAAATTACTTAATTTATTCATCTCATACTCAGAAAAGAGAGAAAATTTATTCATCTCATACTCAGAAAAGAGAGAAAAAGAAAATGCACACAACTATTTTTAATGGTAACTTAATGCCAAATGCTTATAAGAAACATGTGCCTTCTTCATAATGGCACGACAGAAGTTTGTTTGGCTACCTCTTTACTGGTATTTCAGTGGCTAGGTCAGACCTGGCCTTACCAGAATATATTCTGTATTGGTGTGGTATGACTGGTAGTATTTCTTCCTTCTCCTAGAATTTTTATGGATATCTTCAAGGCACTCTCAACTCCTAGTTTAAAAGTTGCTTTGTTGCGATACAGATTGTTTTACTTTGGGTGCCACTGACTATTTTCATAAACTTGAAAATATATTCATCCAGCTATATATTACTTTATTAGACTTAGTAGGTTAGTATTATCATGACCCTTTTGTAGTTATTTTAAAGGCAGTATTGAGTATCTGTTCACTTAAAATTGGAAGATTTCTCAGTTATATGATAAAAATTGAGAAAAGGAGAAGATCTTGGCAAATTTATACTTATTGTAGGAAAATGCATGATGCATAGGAGTTGTAAAATAAAAGTTTGGTTTGCTTACATTCAATCAAATATACATGATTTTAAAAACTATTTATTTTTGATGTTATCACATCAGTAGTAACTTGTGATTCCTTCCTTTTTCACAGCTGTGAAATATTCTACCATGTCTGTGTTTGTGTACATTTTATTTTAGTTTATGTATGTCAAATATTTATATGCTGCCCTTTAATAAAATAAGTTAAAAATCAAGTTCACAGGTAATGAAATAATTTAAAATTCAAAGAATGTAAAGCAGATATAGGGCAACGACAGACACCAGGTACATTAATCCTGTTAATTCCAGTTAATTCCTGAAGCTATTGGCAGAATAAAAGCATTTTATATGCCCCCCAAAAGAGATTGAGGAAGCACATACACAATTTAATAAGGCTGCAGTCATCTGGTCTCCTGACATCTGGGAGGCCATAGAATTCTACTGAGTCCCAGCTCTGTGTCCTGTGATACAGAATATTTGCCTGGATGGCTGTAAATGATTCAAGGCAAGGACCAACAATTACTAATTTATAGGAGAATACCATGTTGCTAATGCTAGAGCTGTTCCCTTCTACTAACACCATTATGGCCCTCAGGGTGAAGGGAAAAAAATCTGATTATCCTGTCAATTATCACTTCTGGATTTTTAAAAGACAACTCAGGATGAAAAACTGTTATACCAGACACAGAGGCAATAGTCCCCTTCCTTCCTAGTTTGTTTGCTTTTAGGTTTGAACTCATCCTAATATGAATCGATATATTTCTTGCTCTTGGTATATTGCCAGAACTTGAATCATCTGTCTTTGCTTTCTGTCTTTCAAAGAATTTAGAGAAATAAATGAAGAAATTATTTAGCATATATGAAAACTGTGGCATACTTGTTTACTCTTCAGCTGTTGCCAAAGCCTGCATGTAACTTTTTCAACACATTTTCATAAATGGAAACTATATCTAGCTATATAGTATTCAGCATTTTTAAACCACTATTCTGTCTTGCAGGGGTCAGCTTTTAGCTGTCAGCAGTATGAAGCTTACAATCTTTTTTTAACAACAGCAATTGGTGATGGTATTAAACTGTGGGATCTGAGAACGCTGAGGTAATCTGTGCTTATTTATCTTAATTGAAAAAAGGCAAAATGCTCCTTGAAACTGTTTTCATATGTTATGAAAAGGAGGTGGGTGCTCATAGTTATTTTGAGATCAGGTATACATGCTAACTATGATACAATAGTTGGACTGTTATTAGAAAATAGAAGAAGCTAAGATCATATCATTTGATGAATAGCAAAGCCCTTTTTTCACCATATCACAACCAATTTGTATTTCCTATCATACGTTCATGAAGATTTAAAAAATCCATGTGTTTGCACTTCTGTAAATATTCAAATAGCTTTGTACACTGCTTAAAGATACTATTGACCCAGAATACTACAGTTTCTATTGTCACACTAGGCAGCACCCAGAACCTGGGCAGTGTGACTTTCCAGAATGGAATAGCTATAACAAGGTTAGAATGGGAAATGTCTGTAATTGCTTGTAGACCTCTATAATAATATGTTCATTGTTTTGACTGTATTTTGTTCAAACTGAACTGCAACTTCCATAACATTTATTTGCTCAACTGTTGTGTGGCAACAGGACTTATTATTATGCTTTAGTGGTAATTCATTTATATCCTACAGGACTGTCTTTTTTATCTGACCGAATTTTCACATTGACTTTTCTGAATTCCCTGATATTTGCAACATTATGCAGCTGCTGCATGATCCTGTTCTTAAATGATTATTTTAATTATACCGGCTGCTTAGAACTCGTAGAGATAAGGGACAGTACAAATGTTAAAAGACAGAGTGAATCCACATACACAAGGACATAAATCCTTCGATATGTTTGCTTATAGAAACAGAGTGAGTCAGAAGGGGCCTCCTGGGCTATCCAGTCTGACCACTGGCTCCAGCTGGCTCTGCTCATGACATGCTTACCATGTGCACTTACAGTCTTCTAATTATGCTTGTTATAAAATAGTAAGTACTGCAAAAGCTATTCTGAAAATACAGAACAGCAAAATAATCTGAGGCAAAATCTAGCAGAGATGGCTTCCATTACCATTTTTGCTTACAGACTAATTCTACTTATTGTGGCATATTTTGGCTGCCCAGAGAGCATAATGCTAATGTGATGGCTTTTATACAAATTTTAATAAACAAACAAACAGACAAAAAGCTTTCTTATTGCATTTTCTAAAGAATATAGAAACTTAAGCCATGATAAAAAGTGTTACTCTTTATAGATGTCTGAAGAATCTCTTGTTTTTGCATAACAATACAAACATATATTGCACATGTAGATGCAGAAAAGAGCTGCAATTGGGTCTTTTCATATATTGAGTGAGATGGCCTTCACAAGGTATACGGCATTTTTTAATGGGATATATGGAGCTGAATCCTGTCTGAAGTCAGTCAACTTAAAAATTGGAAACTGGAAACAAAATGCACCTTTTTAACCTTGAAAACCTATTCTGACTTGTCTGACTTGGAAAACGTTTCATATATAGAATTACAGACTGGGACAGTAGTAGAGGAAAGAGCATATATGGAGAGATGGCTGTAAATCATTAAAATGTAGAAAACGTCTAAGCGAAGTGTTTTGGAAAAAAAACTGCTTTGGAAGAATGTAGCAGCCAGCTTGATATCAATTGATTTTTGTTATTGTTTTATAATTTAATCATGTCTTTTGTGAAAGGAGCTTGTAAGTTCTTGCCAAACTGTAAAGGTTTATTATCCCAACCAAATGTCAAAATGTAATAAAATGAGAGACATTGTATCCTTATGTTTTTGCAATCAACTGGTCTAACTGCAATTCATGAATAATGAAAAAGTTGAAAGTTTTTCGCAGGTCACTTATCTGCTGTCTCCTTTTAAAGCACTAATTTAAACAAAGCAGTTGAATGGTAAAATAGTTAAAAGTAGAATCTGGGTAAGCATTTAGCTGATTTGTAACTAAAGGCCGTGCAATATGATGTGCCATGAATGTTATCAGTCCTTCCTACGTTTTCTTCTTCTTTTTCTCTCCTCTATTTCTATTTTTTTTTTTTTTTTTTTTGCTTGCCTTGCCTCTGCCACAGTAGGATTGTGTTACTTGGGGGATTCATAGCCCTGTTTGCCATTGAGTTAATGGATCTGAGGTCACAGATGGCCTCATCAGTTTTGTCCAGAATACTGAGCACTTACAGATTACTGGAGAGCTCAGAATCAGAGGACATCAGCTCAAGTTCTGTGGGCATCCAATGTGAAGATACCAATCATCCAGTTCCTCACACTCTCATCCCCACCCAGAGCAATCTATAGAAGGAAGCCAATTAAGGTGTCTTGGAAATTTTCACCAGGGCCAGCAGTACATTCTTGTTGCATAATTTTGTACATCAATAATAGAAATACAAATACAGTATTTGGTACTACTTTTCACAGCATGTAAAAATATCTGTGGCTCCTACTGTGTGCAGGCAGGAATTCATGTAAAATATGAGACACTAAACAATTCTTGTAGACAAAGGGTGTTTCCCAATGGGTAATTCCTAACACTACAGAGCAAAAGACTCAAGTGCAGCGATTCTGTCATTTCCCCCCACTTTTTATTTTTATTTTGTGGTAAGAAATCTGAAGAAGGAGTGGGGGGAAAAAGGAGGGTTCTTAGTAAAATAATGCTGTTTAGGTTCCCAGTAAAAGTTTGTGAGTGAGGAAGGGCAACTGAATGATAAATAATTGGTCTGGAAGCAACTTCACATTGTAATTTTAATGATGGAGGAGTTGTAACAGAGACAATTTTCATCTCTTCACTGTCCAAAATGCCATTTTCTGTTAGGCCTCCAAAACTCTTGCTGCAGCTTGCTGCTGGGAGAGTGGACAGAGAATAGGAAAGTTACTTGATCAAGTGGATACATGGCTCTACCCTCCCATTTTCTAACTTCCCTGCTGTCAGTGCTTAAACCACAGAGCTTTCTATCTAGGTGGTATGGGAAGGGAATCCCCATATTATCTTTCTGCACAGCTGTAACCTATGGCCCCTGGGAACACACCCTCCATTTTTTTGTAGGGTCTGTAGGGTAGCTCTTCACTCTGTTAATTTTATGACAAAAATAGTAGATTAACCTTAAAAGAATTATGAACTCCTTCATGATTAATATAATGTATATATTGTGCAAGGAGGTGTAGGAATACTCCATTATTCACATAAAAATAATTACAGTGGAATAAACCTTATGTAGTGGATGATAACAAACCAGGAAAACATATACGTTTTCTGAGCAGTGTTTTCAAAGAGAAGTAAGTGGCTTCAGCAAATTACCAGTGAAACAAAATCTATCACACATTTTCTGTGTTCCTTACTATGGATTATACAGCGGAGAACATAGAGACCTGGTTCTCACATCATACTATGTGGTGGATTGTTATCGTAGGTGCTTGCTGGGTGGCTCGCTGTGACCTCTGAATCTTTCTGGTAGCTTTTCTGTCATAGGTTTGTTTTTGCAAACAAGCCACCCTGGGAGCCCATGGCTTGAGTAGGGTTGTTTACAACGACTTGTTTAATGTGGTTTGTGGTTTGTTGCAATATTTGAACCTAGCAGAGTTGCTTCTTCATGGGTTGTTTAAAATGGTGAGACAGCCACTAGGTAGGAATGGCTCAAAAAAAAAATAATAAAATCAAATCAAATCAAAACGCAAACCCCTGTTGACCACTCTTGTGATTTTGCTAGTGTTGCTATTGTAACCCTTGTCCTCTGCTCTCAGGTGCTGTCAGTGTCCTTTCCTTCACCAGTACTGCACCAACACTTGTCCCTGTCATGATTATTGTTGCCTTTTCTGTCCCTAAAATTAGTACAAGTGAGTTCTGGTGTATTTGTTTCATTGCATTTTTCCTTTGGTCCTGCAGAAGTCCACACATTCATAGGACCACCATAAGACATATTTTCCTATTTTTCACATGCTCCATTGATTGTTAAATTGGCAAAGTAAAAGTCACTCCGCATCCTTGTGCAGTAATTGCACCTTCACCAAAACCTGCTATCGCATTCACCTGCCCTTCCCAGAGTTCCCTATTGAGGGAAGCACTGAAGTGGGACAGCTGGCATTTTCAATATATTATGGAAGGGTGAATTTATTAAGTGGCATTTCTAGACATCCAGAGGGCATATCACTGTATTAGTTTCTGTAAAATGGATGCAGTTTATGAATGTAAACTGATTCCTTTGAATGTGCGCATTTATGAAAAGCCAAAGGAAACTAAAAAAACCCCCAACAACCCTCCAATTCATTTGGGCAAATTTGAAGGACGATTTAAAAAATACTGAACCCAGTTGTGCAAAGCTGAAAGATCAAAACCCGATCGTATTTGTGTAAATAAAGGACTGAAAAATGAAAAATCCTACACATTAATCCCACACAAGGATGTCTTTAAAAAATGTTTCAAAGCTTCAACTTTCTAGAATGATGTGGCTCAATTACAGACTATGGTTTAGATATTAGAAAAATAGAACTCTGATGGCAAAAGGACTTAATTGGTTTCCCAGCTAGTTTCCAGGCACAATTTAAATTGCAAGATTTGATTTTTAAAGCCTAAAAAGTATGGACTCTGCATGCTTCAAGCAACACCTATATATCCTCCCTGCTTAATAGTACATGTCTGTAATTATTCCAAGATGGCAAGCTGGTGTCTCAGTTCTTTGGCAAGCAGTAGATATTACGTGATTGTTCTCTTTTTAAGGAGTTAAAGCTACTGCTGAATCCTTCATTCCATTTTCCAGTCGTGTGCACTTTCGTGCCAAAGTTGTTTAGCATTAATTTCACAGTTAGGCCAATATAAGCATTTTTTTTTACTGAAGACAATTCAGTGTCAGTGTGATTTTGTGAAGCCCTGTTCTCAATTTTGATTTTATTAAAGACAAAACTGAAGGATAGAGGACTTTCTTGGTCATTCATGAACTTCCCTTTATATAGGAAATTCCCCTTTTAGTAATAGGAATGCTTGTGCTACTTGATCCAGAGTATCTATTAATGGATATGCTGTATGACACTGGAAAGACAGCAATCCCCGGTGGAAAATCACACATTATTCCCTCCCAGATTGAATATCCAACTAATATTTATATTTATCATTTGCTTGTTACTTAGGGCAGTTTTTCAATCATGATTCAATTCACAAATAGCTAAATGATTTAAGGCCCAGATACTTTAAAAAAGGACCTATCCCAATAACAACTAGCTTGTGCTTTAAGAATGACTAGAAAGGTCTCTGCTCATGACCTCAGCAATTTATTTATTTAATTTTTATGCCACCCCATGAGCTGTAGGTTCTCTGGGTAGTTTACAATTGACTTATAGTGTGGCCACGTGAGAAAGGTCCTTCCCATGGCAGTGCCCCATTTATAGAATTCTTTGTCTGGGGTCATGCAGGTGGTCCCCACATTGTTGAATTCTAGGTAAGAACTAAAAATATATTCACTCGAGCCTATACTCTCAAAACTTGTTGCTAAAAGATTATGCCTTTTAGTTTTATGTTTGATGTGTTTAATTATTTAGCAAACATTTATTTAACAATCTATTTTATTATTTATCAACAGTGTATTTTTATAATCTTTCTTGGGAGCAGGAAATTATGTAAATCATAACAGAACACAATAATTGAAAGAAATGCTAGCATCTTCTAAGTCATATGTTCAAATTTCCCTGATGAGGATATTGTGGAACTGCTGTTTCAGTAAGACTTAATATTCATCTCCATTGATTAGGAAACTGAATAATGCATTGGAAAATATATTGAAGGAACAGTCAACAAAAGAGACCACTGTAGAATAAGGGGAAAATCTACCTTTGTTGGAAATGGACAATTGACATAGCTATTGTTTTATGTGGTTGGAGCATCAGCTGTGGAGGCAATATAGAAATGAATAAATGCAAAGGGTTGTAAGAGGGATGGACCCCTTTTGCTACACTGAGCAATTATAAAGTGTCTTTTGGAAGAAATACTATATATGTACATTAAAGTTTTTCAGGATAAATGCAGAATTGTGTTCCTCGTAAGGTTGTAGAGCTCTTCACTAGTTATATGCTGTGCATTAGGCTTTCATTATGAAATTCCTGTATTTTGTTCACAAACCTTTTATGGGGCATTCACATAATATTACCATACATTTTTTCCCCTGTATTTTCCCAGCAGTTCTTCCATATCTTCCCAGCCTCAAGAATGGGCAACTTTTTCCCCCCAGAAGAGTGGTAGAGCAGTGCTATCTCCTCAAGCATAGATTCCCTTAGCTCTACTCTCCATCTTGCAGAGAGTGAAGGTTTTAATGTGAGCAGTGATGTATCAGAGAAGTGAATCTATGAAAGTTCAGCACACATTTACTGTAATCTTTTCCTTCACTGAATATTAGCAGCATGTTAAATGCAGATGAGCAATTTTTAATCATTAAAAGGAGAACCTTATGGGTTATCTCATTCTCTCAGTTAAGAAGCATGTTTCAAATGCTTTTTAAAATTAAAATGTATAGCTGAAAATCATGGGAGATAAAATGGCTCCTACTGTAAGGTTATAGAGAATGTGCACTAAGCTTCACATAGAAGTTTAGATGGACTGGTTCTTCCCTCCTGTAACCATAGCAGGTATGTCCTTCCACTGGTCTGGATGAAACAGACTTGGGTGACCATACAGAAAAGCAGCATTTTTTCAATAGATCGCTGTATTAATTTCACTCATATCTTACAGCAGATCATTTTTTTCCTCCAGTTTAAGTTTAAGTGCTAGGAAGTGCTAGTGCTAGGTTACACTCTAGGAAGTAAATGGAGAGAAAGCTTGTGCACCTGCATTTATGGGGTAGTTAATGCAACTGTATGCATTTCTTCTCCATTTAACTTCTCAACAATTAAATTTGCATTTAAATTAAGTGCAAATTAAATTGCATTAAATTTTTGCAATTAAAATTACTGTCGGGGAACTGCAGTAATTTAAGCAGTAACTGCTCAAAAAAGAAACTCTGAAAAGTGGAATAAGTTAATACCTTTCCTTTTGGGAGTAGCTGGAGAATCAGGAAAGTGTTGATAAGGTGGAGCACACTGAAAAGTGTTAGTTCAACATTAGCTGAAAGGATCACATAGCCAAGGGGGTGATAGTGTCCCCCCCCACACACACATACACACATTTTCTGTGCTTCTGACTCACATGACCCAGTCCCTCCTTTCTCTTACTGCTGTATCTCCCCTGGTTTGCCACTGTGTACAGATTAGCTAATAGGCAACCTTGTCTTGTCACTATTCATATCAGATAGGGATATGCTAAAAACCGCACTGCTAAAACGTACAGTCAAATAATAAAGCAATTGTGACCCCAATTGTGAATTTTTGAGACTTTGTTGTTTAACAATAAGCCAGGGAGCAAGTGATAGTCTTTTCAAAGGACATTTCAGCATCAGTGGAAGAGCAGTCACTGGTGAAAACTCAAAAAGCAAGTGGCACAGACTTTTTTGCACTCCTGTTGAATGGATTTGTAGTTGATTCCAGAAACCATACTAAGATCATTCTTCTCACTTCATGGGTTTTCAAAATGGCCTGTTCCTATAAAACTAAGCCACTCTGCTGAAAGCACACCACTTCAGATGACAACCTACCATGACTATAGGATAATATTTATTTTGTATTTAGGTTCTGTTCATGGGGAAAGATGGATGCAAAAAGGTTGTGTGCCTCCTTGAAATTATGAAACTTAGAAGTACTGTGTTCATTAAAATTTTAATTTAAACTTTCTCTGAAGGTGTGAGCGTCGTTTTGAAGGACACAGTAACCGCTGTCACCCTTGTGGAATTGCTGTTTCTCCTTGCGGACAGTATATTGCCTGTGGATCTGAAGATAAATGCGTATGTAACAGTGGTTTATTTCTGGCAAAATACAGTCACATAAATACAAACTTTTAATCTCATTTACATTTCTTTGGCCCCAGGTCCACCAGCCCATTGCTGTACCACCAATTAGCATCCAGCCTCTTAATGCATTTGAAGCTTGTAATTTAACTGTAAGGTGCTTTGCAAATCTGTCTTGTCTGCACCCCAAACAAAGCGTGTGAGTTATAGGAAACTGAAAGTATACTATGCATGAAACATTGATGGAAAATTATTTGGCAGATCTTGCAGGGTGTTGTGAGCTGAGTAGTCCTGCCCAGCAGTAACAGACTCACCAGCCCTTCTTATTTTTATTTATTTATTAATTAAAAGCTTTTGTATGCTGTCCTATTATACAAGATCTCAGAGTGTCTTACAATATTTGCAAAGACAATTAAAACAACAATTGCAATAAATGATAAAACAGAAGAAAACAATAAATCACAAAACAAACAGAGCGACTAAGCTTAAAAACTATTAAATTTTAAAATACTGTTTAAATAAAAAGGTTTTGGCCTGGCACCGAAAAGAGTATAAACTTGGCGCTAGGCATACCTCTCTGGGAAATACATTCCAGAGTCTGGGCACCACAGCAGAGAAGGCCCTACTCTGAGTTGATGACCTTTTTACCTCTCTCAGAGAGGGTTCCTGGAGTAGGGCTTCTCCATAGATCTTAAGGGGCATGAGGGCATATAAGAAAGGAGACGTTCCTTCAGGTATCCTGGTCCCAAGCCATTTAGGGCTTTATAGGCACCTTGAATTGGGCCCAGACTTCAACTGGAAGCCAGTGGAGCTAGTAGAGGACCGGTGTTATGTGAGAGTAACAGCCGGTCCCTGTCAGCAGCCTGGCAGCTCTATTCTGTACCAGTTGCTGTGTCCAGACCATTTTCAAGGGCAGCCCCACATAGAGCGTGTTGCAGTAATCCAGGAAGTTACCAGAGCATGTATCACTGTTGCTAGGGAGTGCTCATCCAGGAAAGGATGCAGCTGATGGATCAACCGAAGTTGTAGGAAAGAACTCCTTGCCACTGCCGCCACCTGGAACTCCAGTGACAGCTCTGGGTCAAGGAGTACTCCCAAGCTGTGGACCCTGTCCTTTAGAGGGAGTGCTACCCCGTCCAGAACTGGGTCAAAATCACCTACCTGGAGACCCACACCTCCCACCAACAGGACTTCCATCTTCTTGTCAAACACCTTTATTTGACTTGTCTCTGAGCATATACAAAGCAAAATGTTGACCCCTCTCTGGCCCCCTTGACTCAAAGTTTTGCTTATGAGTCCATCTGTGCCTGTCTCTGGAGGGAGGAGCACTGTGGAAATGTGTATGCCTGCGTTCTTTCCTCTGGGACCCCAGTTGGGCCATCCTGTGACTGTGACAATGGACTATCAGGTCCACCTGCTCAGGAGGCTGGAGTTCTCCATCTGATAGACCCCCATCTCTGAATTCCCTCCCCCTTCAGGATGTTGTTGCTCTTCTTTGTTCCCACGAGTGGGTTGACTGGGATCCCCAGCTGTCCTTGAACTAATCTCTTCCCTAGCAGGCACAGGCAGATACCCAGGGCCTTGGACTACAGCTGGAACTGAGTTCGATTCAGCAACCATCTTGTTATCAGAGCCTGAGCTGTCAGCCCTGCCGGGATAGGCCAACTCCCCCTCGTACATTACATTCTCAGAATCTGAGCTGTCAGTCCAGCCAAAATGATCAGCTTTTCGTGCATGCCTGGGAATCTTTCCAGAATGTGTGCTCACGACACAGGGCTAGAAAATCATATTGTCTGAGTGACTGAGGAATAGCAGAAAATCATGGAAGTGCAGATACTTCGAAATCACCCATAGAGCTATATGGGCAGGTCCAGAATCTGGCCACCATCAAAGCAAACCGAGAGAAATCAATGAGCTGTCTGCGTAGGTGGAGCTATACTGGAGATCCCATCTGCTGTCCCTATCCCCCGCTGCTTACCCCACAACACAGAATGGGAGAGTCCTGTTCTCCCTGCTAATTTGCATCTATTCTTCTGAGCGTTGCATCTTGTAACTACTGTTTGCCTGTCCAGATTAACTAGAGATAGCTCCCTGCCCATCTAACATGGATTTTCTCATGGACAATGGGAAAACTAACAAGGAGTCTTGTTACATTTATTTTGGCATAAACTTTCAAGGACCATGGCTCAAATTTGTTCATATTTAAAATGTTACAAAACTTTGTTGTTTTTACTGCAAAGACTGGCTACCCCCAGGACATGGAAAAAGTGTATGAGATACTGTGGAGAGCGTCTCCCTCTGATCTCTCTACCAACTTTGCTGGCCATCAGTGATATTATTCTTGACTTTAAATACTGGATTCTAGAAACAAACTTGTTATATAAGGTTCCTCTTACCCATAAGTCTGTCACAAGGATTAATCTTTGAGGCATCTGTAATTCCATTTACATAGCATAGTACTTTCACTGGTTTTAAAGGAATTTGTAAAGAATGAGAAACCAAGAGAGCCAATAAAATTAGTGATATTAATCTTAAACCGCCTTCCGCAGTACACAAATATTTGACAGGGAAGAATACGTGTTGGCAGCATGACCTAAAAATAAAATTGAAAACATATTCCTCTTCTTGGTACAAACAGATCACTGTGCTATGTTGTTGCAAACAAGTATTGTAGGTGCCCATCCTCCAGTTCTTTACTTGTAAAAATAGGCCAGTGATCTACTGCTTCCTAAAAATAGCTTGGCATCACTCCTGTTCATGCTACTGTTCTATATTTTTTTAAAATATGGAGGAGCTACTTCCAACCAATTAACATGGTATTTACCAATGTTCTATCTCACTTGTTCTTAAGAACACTAGGGACTTTTTAAAGTATGGTGCCTGATTCCATAATTTACAAAAATGTCAATGAATGGATTAGAACATTTTGGATGACCTTCTTTCACCAAAACCAGATGAAGAGGTTGCCTGTGACATACAAGCTATTAATATATTGCCCAAATAAATGAGGGTCTTTAACATCATGAAGAATACAGCTGTGTAGGAAATGTCACAGTAATAACCTAGCATGAAACACACATGTTTGATGTGAACTTTAAGAACTGGGATATGAGCGTATACTTCTATTAGCATTCTGCATGAAAATAAATTTGTATTTTTAGATTGATTTAAGTGGACAAAACTATGTATGATAAGTAGAATCATGCCTTCAACTACTGATTACCTTCAAACATCTTTAAAAGGGAAATTCAAGTAGAAGAGAATGGTTACAGTGAGAATAGTAGATCTTTGCTTAGCCTGTTACTGTGTCATTGGCAGCCTCTTCTATCTGCTGCTTTCCCTACCCTCCACTTTTCCACTTGAAATCACATGTACACAGGAATCTGGCAGCAAGCAGTGCTTGAAAAGACAGGTCTTCTGTGGTGTATTTGGGACTGGAGTCAGTATAAGCTTTAGCCATATACTGATGGAATTGATGCCACAGATGTCGGTGGGGGTGGAGGCATTTATTTCTATGCCCTACTAACTAAGGTAAAGAGATCCAGAATGTTTAATGCAGCATTATGTTGCTAGGCCCATGGAACTATTAAACCAAATTCCACCACGGGTTTCCACTGAATTTCTTCTAAAGAACAGTGTTATCTGGAGGTTGATGCAGAAATGATATATTTAAGATATTTCAATGGAAGCAAGAAAGAGCAAAATGCCTTCCAAAAATGCATAGTTTTTCCTGCACATAAAAAGGTACTGCAAGACAAGCTCTTTCTCATATTTAGAGATTAACATGCCCAGTTGTTCTCACTATATCCTTGTACACTCCTATCTACTGCTTCTCTTTGCAGTTATAGAAAGTCAAAATAGAACAGGAAGTATAAGTTGACCCATCTTGAGCATATGTAACATTATAACTGCCCTCCCCAGCCCAGCACAGCTGTATATTTTTTGTTCTTAAAAAAAAAAAAAAAAAGTGGGGGTCCATAGAAAGAACATTTGCTGTTGCATGTCTTTTGTAGCTCAGATACAATTACATTAGCAAATCACCCTTTGAATGTGCTGAGAGCAATCTCTACATTTCCAATAAAACTGAAACAGAAGTAGGTGTGTGGTAGTGAACACAGGAAGTAAATGTGGATGTGAATAATACAGGTAAAGCTCTTTTATGTTTAATTGAAGTGAAGCAAAAATGGAAAGGAAATATCAATCACTCCTGCATTGGTAATTTTTATTATTAGGCATAGGTTTATGTGAGAAAAGAATACTTTATTTTGGCTCAATGAACCAGACTTTTACACACATGCATTTTTACCATATAACCATTACCTTCATAGCTCCTTTTGTTCCTTTATAATTTTACAAAGAAAGAAATGTTTAAGTTCTACAGCTAAATTCACATAATCAACGGTTTTTTTCATGGTTACTGTTATTCATGTAGAATTTTAAAGAAAAAAATAACATTTGATATTTTCTTATTAGTAATAGTTTTGGAACAACATTAAAGACATTTAAATGGGAACTGAAATGCAGTGAAACCAATGAAGGGAAGCTGGTAGCCAGTGGAGCAATAAGAAAGTAAAAGGCTACCACCACTGAAGGGCAGCCAGGAGGAACTGGAGCCTCATATCCTCTCCAGCTACTGGAGGCAGCTAAGGCAGAAGGTGGTTTTCATAATGCCATGCGGGTGAAATTTTTCCCAGTTCAGAAGGCCTTTGAAGGGCTTTCTCAACAGTGGCTTGTGTTGATAAAGCTGCCTTGCTGAAAAGTAAATATAGGAATTTCCGATAAATAATAATGGGTAAATATACTCTTCTAATAGTGTGCAGCAATATTAGTAGTACCACTAATGAAGAATGCTTCCCACCAAGTGCACACTCCTACCGTTACCTTACCCTTACCTTTAATTTCATTTTTATACCACCCAATAGCTGAAGTTTTCTATTCGGTTGACAACTGTGCATAAAACAGGCATTACAGTAAAACACCATAAATTTCCAAATTATGAAAAAGCTTGGAAATAATGTTTGGTGCAGAATTGGTCTTATTCTTGATACATTCTTGGACCATCCTGTCCTAGTTGTTAATCTGGCTGCTTCATTTTGTACAAGCTGTAGCTTCTGAACATTCGTCAGGGCAACCCCATGTGTGTTGGAAACTCCACCTTTATGATGATGCTGTATTGAAAAAGAATGCATAAGACCACTGTTTCAGTACCTTATATAAAATACACATTCTTGTGTTGTTTCTCAGGATGTAAGGGTTTTAGGAATTTAAAAAAACCTTTTATCATTTTAATATATTTGGGATACCTGAATAGGTACTGTGTTTGCTCTTAAAGCTACCTTGACCATCTTTGAAATGGAGGGAACAGAGATATTAAAAAAAAACAACACTTTTACAGAATTGTCACAGGTACTTGTAATTCCCTAAATTTCTTTGTCTGTCATGAAAATAACCAAGCCTTCTATAGTTTTCCCACTCCCTTCCACAAAGCAATTGCACCATTGTATCATAACTACCCCCTTCAGAGTGTTGTGATCCTGATCGCCAGGTATTATGGTGTGATGCCATTTGCTCATTACAATCAGGAAGAAAGGATGGGGTTGAGCACCATCTATGTGCAGCTGTTAAAAAGTACCATTTGATTATATATTTTATATATTTTTCTTGGTTATTTGAATCATTTTCAAATACCTGAATATCAGTTGTAAAAATTACATATGAAAAACCAAATCAGTATTTCTGGAGTTGAAATATTACCAGCATTATGATTAATATATATATATATGTGCTGTAAAATATTGTAACTAACACGTGGTGGAAAGTGTTCATTTTTAAAATTATCTTGTGTTAAATTATGTTAAATACGGTTACTACTTAAGGGTATAATCCATTGGTCTCTAGAAGGATGTCAACAGGACAATCTCTCTCTCTGCAACTGGAAAAGCACTGGAGGTCTCTGTGTTATGGAGATGAAAAGGCCTGCATCTGTCACTATTGTACTGGCAGTGGGTTCTGGAATGGGGCATTCCAGGAGGAGTCCCAGTGGAAACCAAAGGTCCACAGGCTTGTAAGCTTTCCTGGTCTCCTGACCCCCACCCCAAATCAGCTGCACATCCACTGGTATCAGGGGAAAATGGAAAAACAAGGGCAGTGACAGTGAAAAAGAGCAAAGATGCACCCTAGCTTCCACCATGGCCACAGGGAACCAGTGTGCCATAGAAAGCAGCAGTAACTACACCATGAATGTCCCCTTCTCCTTGCAAAGGACTGTCTCTCCCCTTTATTGAACTAAAGGGATTTTTTAAAGATCTTAGCCAAAGTAGCTCAGTAACTGGCTTGATATTTTCCCCCAGAAGTTCTAGTTTCATCACATGCTTTTGACATCTTTAAATGCATATTGTCTTTCAGGCTTACATATATGAGAAGCATTCAAGCACCTACTCCTATAAATTGACAGGACACACAGAATCTGTAATTAATGTGGCTTTTAACCCTTCATCTCCTCAGGTACTTCTCTCTTCTCATTTATAAACTTTTAATTTCTGATTATAATATTAGTTAGCTACTGTACTTTCTCTATTTTATTTCCTTATACGATACCATTTTCTATTAATATTATTGAATCTCAGTTGTGTTTGCTTTAGTTATGTGCATTAATGCTCCTAAACTGAATTTAAATTACTTGGTCAGGGGTTAGGTAGCTGAAGTGCTAGAATTCATGTTTCTATAACTTGAGATATATTTTTTTTAAAGTTTGTGTGTGAGTTCATGTACATACGCTTTGAAAAATTCCAAAATACTGTCCTATTGTATTCAGTGGCATTGGAAAATCCACTAGTATATAATATTAATTTTACTAGTTTGCTATCATGTATACTAGTATTGCTAGTATATATCCTAGTAATCTTGCTTTCCTCCTTTGCATGAGTGTAAAATAGAAGTTATTTAAAGGGTAAATGTTGGGAACTTGGGGAAATGGATTTTCACCCTATTTTCCTTTATACTTCATCCACATCACCACTTTATACACTAGTCTAGAGGGTCCCCCAACACTTTAAAGCAGATACTTGATGGTATAGGGGTGTGAAGGAGGAGGGAAAATAGGCAAAACTGGCTCCCTCCCTTTGCATAGGATCATCCAGTTCATAAGTGCTTCTGTTCCTGTGTATTCCATCTTTTGCTCTAAGATGGTTATTACTGGCCCCACTCCCACTGAATTATAGTGAGTGGCTCCAGTTGTGGAATGCTGTCACATTAGGGGCTTTTCAGTAAAAGGAGTCCCTGTGGATTTCACTCTGCTTACCAGCGGCTAATAGGGTACGGTGCTCATCTCCATTTGTAAGGCCATGAGCCAGCACTGTCTGAAGACGATTCCCACAGTCATGTGGCCAGTATGATGCCACAAAGCACTGTTACCTTCCCACCGAGGTGGTACCTATTTATGTATTACATGCTTTTGAACTGCTAGGTAGACTAGGAGCTAGGGGTGAGCAATGGGAGATCATGCCATCTGGCAGAGGCTGGACTCCAGCTGCTGGAGTGCCAACCATTTCTGGCCAACATTTCAAGCATCATTAAGCCACTCCACTACCACTTACCCTTTGGCTTTTCAGTGCCCAGAAAATATATTTTTATTCTTCCAGGCTTTTATTTTGCTATTTATTTCATGGTATATTCACATTTTAAACCATGATTATTTTCTTTTTAGATTTTTTTCATTTGTTTCCTGAATGGTTTTGGTCTCCATTATTACAAATTATATTTGTGCCGTTCCTCTTAAATTTAACTTAATTTAACTGAATTTTATTGATTTTACTGGGTTTTGTTTGATGTTTATGTACAGTGTCATGAGAGCTTTGGCTGGAGGGTATTTCATAAGTGGAATGAATAAGTGATTAAATAAAATAAACAGCTTCTAGGTCAAGTCCACATTTGGGATCATTCTTCGAGAAGGTCTGCCCGGGCTCTTTATTGTGACCTGGTTACGTTGTTTCTTAAGCTACTCCTAGGTTTCATCTAGCACACTGCCCATTCCCTAAGAGTACTGTTTCCCTCTAGGGTTGAACCTACGTTTGAAGGCCCGGGGCTTTTTTATTTTGTTACTGTTAACTTGTATACTTAGACCCAACTTAATCTCCTGTGACTAGTCTTTGCTGTATCCCGGAAATGTCCCATTCCATTGGTGCTACCAAATCACAGTTGGAACTTCAGTAACTGCCTAGCCTACCCAAGCGATGTCCACACTATGAATATGACTGCAGTAGTGGAATCATGGGTGGTTTGTTTATCAATTAGCAATGAGTGTAAGCAATGGTGTGACTGTGAAGAACTGTTTAGGTTTGTTGATATTATGATCAGTGGTTTATTCTTCCTAAACCCAAGCTAAGAGCTGGGGTTGTTGCACTAGGACTTTCTTGGAATCCTGTTCCAATATTTGTCTGGTTATTTCCCTTGTATCCTTTTCTTAATCCCCTTATTTTTTTATATGTGTTTGCTATTTTTCTTGGGTTAGTCAGGGAACAAGGTGATGCTTAGCTTTATTAGTCCCCATTCCATCATCTGTTTTTAATAACTACGGTCAACACTTAGTCCTCCATCAGTCCTAGATCATCACCTATATTAGCCTTTGTCTGCACAGAGATAAATCTTTGTCAGAGTTTCCCCACTTTGTCCTGGTGCACTGCATAATCTACCATATGTGCACCATGCTCTGCAAAAGATCCCAGTATCTCTGTCATTCAAATATTTATGTCTGCAAGTTGAAAATTACATGTGTGGATCATAACGTACAGTACCAATTATTTCCCTTAAAAACTATAGTACATATACTTACAGTCTGACAGATTAACTAAAGGTTAAGGTAAAGGTTTCCCCATGAGTTTAAGTCCAGTCATGTCTGACTCTAGGGGGTGGTGCTCATCTCCATTTCTTAGCCAAAGGAGCCAGCATTTGTCTGCAGACAGTTTCCGTGGTCATGTGCCTGGCATGACTGGATGGCAAAGCACACGGAACGCTGTTACCTTCCCACTGAAGTGGTACATATTTATCTACTTGCACTTGCATGCTTTCAAACTGCTAGGTTGGCAGAAGCCAGGACAAAGCAACAGATGCTCACCCTGTCGTGTGGATTTGAGCTGCTGATCTTTCAATAACAGGCCTAGTCGCTCAGTGGTTTACAGCACCGCACCATCTGCATCCCTTAAAAAAACAAACAAACTATACTATATATACTTATAGTCTGACAGATTAGAAGATAGCTAAGTAGGCAGCGTAATATTTTTCACAAGGAAAAATACATTTGAATTTAACAATTAGATGTGGGAGGAGGGTTGGCTAATGGAACTTTGGAAATCCACTTTTTCAGTTAGTTAAACTGCAGCCAGAGGATGTTTTATATTGATTTTTGATGACCTGCTACGTGAAGGTACCTGCCAGTGGCCAATAGGGAAATGCACATATAAGTCTCCTAGACAGTGAAATTTTTAGAACTGAAATCATCCAAAGTTATTTAGAATTGGCTGTAAATAGTTTGGGATGGGTCTAAAAATATGAGTTATTGAATTTTTACAAGCTACTAGGAAAACTCTGCTTTCCCTGGTGACAACATCTGGAAAACTCAATTATATAGAATGACATATATGAAAACAGTGTTCTTCTCTGATACTGGTTCACTGCCACCTGTTCACTTAATCATCAGTAGCATGTAATTTTCCACAAGTAGGCTGTACTTTGAAGTGATAGGGAAAATCTTTGCTTTGCTTTTTTAAAACTTATTTATGGAGTTTTGGCTTGCATTTGCATTGGCATTAAATCGTGCTTAGGTTATCCCTCCTGTGATTGCTGCATATTTTCCATTATGTGAAAGACCACAAACTTCTTTATTAAAAGACAGCCATCTTGCCCCTCACATTGTCATTGCCATAGTTCATCAGTAGAACTCCAAGGTAGACTCTCAGGTTTAAGAACAGAGGCCTACATATGGTCTCATTATTCTAAATTCTGTAGATTTTAAGTACACAGTCAAAGTCTCTATTGGGGATTTTATGATTAGATAGTTTTTAGAAACTGGCACGATAAAAATGAAGGACTGGTGCTCCACTGGTGTGTGTGTGTGTGATAGAAAGGGATGGCACTAAAGGAAGTAGCAATATTTATTACAGAAAAAAAGTGGGAAGGCAATGGCAAAAGTGAAATTATTTGAAAAGTCCCCCAAGTATTAGAAAAATAGGCCAAAACATGTTTTGAGGTATAAAGATTAACCCAAAGTATCTAATATGTATCTAGATCAGGATGTTCTGGTTCATTACACTAAAATAGTTTATGAATACTGATCACATCAGCCACTCTGGAAGAAGCTATGTATCATGGGTTGTTCACACAACTGTCCTCAACATGTTCTCCTTCCCCTCCCCCTCAGTCCTCCAGTACCCTTCACTATAAAACCTGTCTTGCCTCCCTATTCTTGCTCTGATCACTACTCCCTTTCATTTATTTCCATTCCCCACCACCAGAGCCTCAAAAATGAGTAGATGAGGTCATATTTATGTATTTTTTTTTCCAAACTCAGAAAATTGGGCAATTGTGGTGGTGGTGGTTAGACTTTCACAGATACACAGACGTATACAGGTATAGTGTATGTGTAGTCTTACCTGGTTAATTTATTGGTACGTTTCAGCTGTTCAAAGGTATTGCAAAATAACACTTACCTGCACTTTTCAATTGGCACCTAGGAACTGTATACAAATTTGCCTGTATGTAAGTATGTATTTAATTCGTTTGAAAGCTACCCATTAGCATCATGCTTTCTGGGCAGCCATTACAATGAAAATACATATGAAATAATATTAGATAAAATAATACAATTAAAATACCATAATAAAATAAAACAAGTAAAATCACAATATACATAGTTAAATAAAAATAAAACCATAAATAATATATTAAATCCAGTGCAATCGGTCTGAAGGGTCTAAGTAGTACCATTAAGGTTAAAGGTTTCCCCTTGACATTAAAGTCCAGTCATGCCTGACTCTAGGGAGCGGTGCTCATTTCCGTTTCCTAGCCGAGGGAGCCAGCATTTGTCCGCAGACGGTCTCCGTGGTCATGTGGCTGGCATGACTAAACACGAAGTACACGGAACACTGTTACCTTTCCACCGAAGTGGTACCTTTTTACCTACTTGCATTTGCATGCTTTCGAACTGCAAGGTTGGCAGGAGCTAGGATGGAGCCAAGGGAACTCACCCCGTGGTGCAGATTTGAACCAGCGACCTTTTGATCAACCAGCCCAGCAGCACAGCAGTTTAAACCACTGCGCCACCTGCATCCTTAAGTAGTGCCATAGGTGCACTGAAAAAGACAAGTTTTTGTTAGGCACTTGAAACTCAACAGGGTAGGCACCTAGCAAATCTCAAAGCATAATGCATTCCATAATTGATATGCCACCACCGAAAAGGTCCTCCTCCTTACAGCCTCCCTGTTAACCTCCTTGGGAAGAGGGACTTGTAG